GGATTGATTCAGTGACTGGGATAATTGGGATGGGAGTGTCAGAGACAGTGCGATTGGCACAGGACAGAGCGGAGTTTAGGCCTGTTGTACATAGGCTCGCTATGAGTCGCAGGCGACTCAAAGGCACATAACAACAACAACAACAACAGAGCAGAGGGTAGTATGACTTATCACTAGATGTTTGTGGGAAGGGGCCACCACAAAGAATCTGTACAACCAATCACAGTCACACATCATTATCCAAGGTTTTACACTGGGAAGTCTAATGTACCCTTGTGATAGAAGTGTTGGACTTATCAGATTTTTAATAGAATGCTGTTTATTATATCATTTATTCTTATTTGAACCCATGAGGTTGCTAATGTTAAACTCAGATCAGTTGTAGAAACTGAGGAACATTTTAGATGAAATATTGTCCTGTGCTGCAAGAGACATAGAAAATAAGATACAGGTTCTAACACTTGGACTTAAGCAAGAACCATTCTTTTTTTTTTCCTGACTCAGTTGAGAGATTATATAATACTTGTGAATGTTTTTTTATCACAATATCAGAACAGACATTGAGTTATGTTGGATTTGCTTCTATAGCCCAGTCCCTGTAAGCTCTGTAATCCTGAGTGAATAAATATATAATAGGGAACGGTCAGTGGACTCTCATCATAAATCTCATGCTAGAAAAAGAAACTATAAACACCTCTCTAACCCACTGCTTCAATGACAAAGTGGGACTTAATTTTTGAAGGTCTGGATGTCACAGTTGTCAATACTGATATCTTAGCAGTGTGAATGTTAGACCCCAGATTCTACTTAGGAAATTAATGATGGCCAAGTTATATTACTTTAATACAATATATTCTCTGCTTTGCTTTATGAAAGTGGAAATAACAGGTAACATTAAATGCATGAGTGGAAAGGGAACGAATGTAAATATGTACGGAAAATGGAATGAATCCTACTGCTTATGCAGAGTATGAGGATAAGAGTGCCTGCATTACTGAGTCATTGAAAAATGCCTTTGGGCATATTGTTTAGTATAACAAGCACAAGCAAAAGTGACATGTTCTTGTGAATGGAGCCTAAAGGGCCTTTGATAAGTACTCTCTAGGTACTAGCTTATCTAATGAGTCTTATACTGGGAAAATCTAGAAGAGACAGATATCCTCCTGGGTTTTGAAATCTTTAGAATTTAGTGAGGTTGCTTGGAAAGAAAAGAAACAAATGAGATGAAAAATAAAAATAACAGTCACAAATCATAACTGAGTTGTTCTTGATATGATGTACTTGGGCCTAGTTATAGCAGATTTGGACCTGAGAGAGGAGCCTAAGGAAAGGGGGAGGCTCAGCAGCAATGCCTCCACATCTAAAGGGCCAGAGGGGATGTAACTTGGTAAGACATCTCTCCAACTTCCCCAAACTAAGATACTAATTAATATTTGCTTCCATGTCTGGAAATTTCCACCAATGTCCTGAACTACCAATAAGAAAACTCCGTAAACTCCTGTTGATATATTGAAATCACCAATGAGAAAAATCCAACAACTGCTTCTTTGTCTACTTCCCTATAATCATAGCCCAACCCAAGATGAAGAGATGTTTCATTCTGTAAGCTAGTATTGATTACTGTTGCCTGATGGTTTGCTCTGGACAAGGCCTTTGTGTATAGATATGAATGCTCAAAGTTTCAGGTTAATAGAAGTTTCTTCAAGAGTTTATTTTTTCTGAGTACTGGTTTGATCAGATTGAGCAAATCAGAAATTGATTATCTAAAGTGAGGGGGTTAAGATATAAGGAGTGAAGTAGCTGGCTTACATACTTCCATAAACATAGGTGATGGTAAGGGGAAGGTTAAGTCTTCAGAAAATTCAAGAAAATAGCTAGAAAAGCCAGAAGGTAACCTACAGTATCAGAAGTCTTAAAAGTTATCTTTTCTATCCATTGCACTAGCCCCAGTTGAGGGCATGGTCTCTAGCTGCCTTAACTGTAGGTACATGGTCTGGCAACTTATCAATTAACAGCTATGGGACCAATAAGAGAGTGCTTTCCACACTGTGAAAGTGGGGATGGTGGTGGAAAGAGGGTGAAGAGATTGTGGCATTACTGTGAGGGACTGCGACAAGGTGTAACCAGAGGAACCCTAGAGATGTTGCCATAGTTAAAGGTTTTGCTTATTGAATAATTGAGGAAACAACAAAAATAACAAAAAAGCACAGGACTAAGTGGTTCAAGGAACATGGCTATTTTTGGACCATAGTCTTGCAGCTGCTCCACTGGCCCTTCCTTTTTGAAACACAGATGTTCAAGTGATTCTTCTCACTCTCGGGTCTCATCTTCCTACAACATTTCTTGGTGTGTTGGCCTAGAAACAAAGCCACTTGGGGAAAGAAACAAGGACTGAGTTGCCTAGTGTTTACCTCAGAGGGCTCATGCAGGGAACCTCAATCAATCTGGAAAATGTGATCCTCTGAGAGTACACCAGGGATGGTAAATTTTGTCTCACTGTGTAGATGCTTCAATAGAATGGGAGGAGGACCCCCTGGGCAAGTCCCCAAGGAGACAAACAGTGGGACTAGCTGGCTTCAGGGGATCAGATCAGAGATGTCTGAACAGTGGTAGGCCTTGCTCAGGAAAGTAGATGGGTCCTGTTCCTTAAGAGCAAAAAGAGAGACTGATCACTTCCCAGTGCCTCCTTAGTGCTGCTTACAGCAGAGAGTAGGAAACGGAGGCTGCTAAAGGCAGGAAGTGGGGTGGGATTGTGTGAAGGAGTATGAATGGAGACTACCTGAGACAGATATCAAGAGGCAAGTTATGACTCCCTCTCACAGGGCCAAAGCGAGTGCAGAATCCCCAACCACAGGTCTGGAGCAATCTCACACAATTTGGGACAGTACTTAGCATTGCTAGTGAAAGTTGGGATCACCAATCAGAAGAGACTATGTAACTTCTCCCTTATGCCTATTCCTCTCTCCCTTCCCATTTTTTATATGCCTTTTATCTGTCAAAGGAAGGATATGGGAAACATACAAGGAAAATCTACTCCATTGGGAACCATACGGAAACATTTTAAGAAGGGATATACAGGGAACTACAGGATTAAAATGTCTCAGGGGAAACTGAAAAAATCTATGT